GAGGCGCTCGCTGGTCGACGCCGGTGGCAGAGTAAATTCGCGAACATTGCACATCGGTCGAACGCAGTAGTGGTACCTCAGTTCATGTCGCCTCAGCCCAATAGCAATGCATAGTGGATCCAGTTAGCATGAATCTTGTCGCCGCGATAAGAACACGGATGAAACCAGGTAAAACGAAAAGTAGAGGTGGGGTTGAAAAGTCGAAAGATAAGTGCATGAGACCGAACCAGAGACTCAGAGAGTAGGGCATACTGGATATGTTTTGAAATCACGGCGGTGTTCAATCTCAAAACTCCCTAAAGTGAACACGACACGTGCAAGTCTGTTCCCCTGTCTATCTCTCGATCAATTTGTTCATGCCCTTCTGATAACTTATTCAGTGACATGTCCATGGATTCAATCAACTAGTTTAAGTGAAAGTGAACAAAACACGAGTGGGCAATAAACTGGAAAGCGAAAGGCATATACCAATGTAAGCGTAAATTTAGATATGCACACTTGGTGTTCCCAACAGATGCGAGCAGTGATCAGCAAGTTAGGAGGAGCACATCGTAAGGAATGGACCAGTGGACTCTAATCGGACCAAATTCCAGCGTCTTTCCAGAAAACAAGTAGAATAATCGCATTGGCTGATCAAAAGAATTTTCTCAGACAATGTAATAGTATAATTGGGAAGTAAAGAATAGAAGAGAGAACGTTCGAGGTCATCTAGAACAGAGTTAAATCGGCAGTTTGTGACATCCATTTGCGACGGGTCTGGCGGCCATTAAAGTGGAAACTGCAACGTCGCTTTCTTGGTAGGCTAACCGGAGCGGTCAGGTTTACAGACAATAAGAGCATCCTAGTTCGACCTTGGTGACCATACCACAACAAACGTCGATGACGAAATGCGACTGGTATCTTAGAATCTTTCACGCGCTGTACCAGTATTTCTGACTCATGCATAAGCCGCACCGCATCGTTGTACTTGCCAAACAGGTTGGTACCCACAGTCATAACAAATGATTGAGATGGCGGAAAGACACACGGTGCATATGCAATGACCTCTTCAGCTATGTGACTAGGCGTTACAGCCATCCAAATCGATCGAACAATCCACGTGGCTGGGTGGTGGTGGACGAAATTGGACTGTGTTGGCTCAGCCTTAGAAAAGTGTTTAGCACTCTGACGATGTGAGGCACTGTAAGATCTCGAAAAACCTCAGTTGCAGTAGTGATACTACAGAATAGAAAGGAGATTCCCTGGCACGCCCTTTAACGAGAGGCACCACCACGTGTTGGCATCATGAACGGGATCAAACGTGGTCTTAAGTACAAAAGAACTAGAATTGTGGATTGCGCTGATGAATATCGCTGTTTCAGTGCATGAAGTGTGAACATGTGGCAAATGCAACCGTTGCAAGGTCGGAAAACAGCCTAAATCTAAATGGTTCGAATCTCATAAGAACCAGTCGGTGCCACATGTGAGCAGTTTGAAGGTAATGGTAGTAAGGCTTATGTAACGATGACTTCGCATAGAGATATCTGAACTCCGACAAAAATGGATGAAAATTCCCAACTTGAATATACTTCTCCTGCCAGAAATCAAGAACAGACACATGCCGGGCGCTTCCCACTCTCGACACTGCACTTTACAGTCATCGCCGTATTTCTTAGGATTCTGCTGGTGGAGATAGCGGACATGGAACCTGTATCCGAAATGTAGAGAACATAGATCCAAGCGACTGACGTCACTGAGATTGACCGAAATGCGAATCGCAGTGCACATCGAGATTGTGTGTCGCAATCCAAACGGACAATGTGTACCCCGACCAGACAACAGAAAGAATTAGCCCTTAAAAGCGGACGACAGAAGACAAGGCCACCACTGGTGTGTTGGCGAAATGATTAGTAAGAAACGATACAAAAAAACAAGATCAGAAGTTTCATCACAGAGGAGTAGTGTCGTAAACAATAGATACATAAGACCATTTGCCTAGTTGGACAAGCGGAACTAATTTCGCTACATTTTAGGACCAAACGCAACAAAGCATTTGTTTTGGAACAAAAAGTTTGGTTACAGCATACGAGGTGAGGTAATCGTACTGAGAAGAGTTGGTTACTGGAAGTCAGAATAAAGTAAGTGGAAAGCGGAGTCTGGCGCAACATTTCACCCCCACGATTAACGACTGAACTGTTTGTTCCCACGTATTATGATGGAAGCATCATTCCTATACAATTGGAGCATCCACAGAAGTCATGTGCACATGGAAAGCTAACTGGTAGAACCTCATCAAAAGAAGTGACGAACCAAATAAAAGGGATATAAAATCACCAGTGACGGTGACCACTTATCTCAAGGAAGAGTTGGAAGGAAGTTATAACTGAAAGAAACAAGAATGAAAATTCAGTTACCGGAGCGATCTTTTCTCAATAACTATCCCAAGACCATTAAAATTATAAGAGAGGAACAGGCAACACAGTAAGCTACTGGAACCTGTTGCTGTATCAACGAGACAAGCAGGTCAATTCGCTGGAGGAAGGCTTCGCAGCCAACGTTACACTGCCAGTTTCCGAAACCAGGGAATTGCCGAGGGGGCCACGGCAAGAGAAGGTCTCGTACGAGAGGCTACTGCCTGCAAAATTCGGGTAGAGCAATGTGATAGCGATTGCCCCAGTCGTCTTCAATAGATGTTTTCTGAGCGCGCTACCATACTACAGCGGTACGGAGTGGAAAAGTTTGAACGTATCTGATATCCGGATCTTATGTCCACTTAGGAGCGAATGCTCTAAGATAGCGCCGTGGATGCTTCTAGGCGTGCTTCTTTGTAGCAAACGTGTGCAGTGTCCTGTTACCTGTGCTAACAAACACCTGGTCGTGTGTCCAAGATACTTTGCGCCACAGATGCAAGATGATACAGAATGTACGATTTGGATTGGACCAGGAGTCTGTCCTTGAGACGTTGTGTAACAAAAAGTGAAGTCTGCGCAGGCACGCGCGGATAGGCGGCCCGGTAGAGTTTAGCCACTACGCTGGAGTCTTCGCTTCAGTAGGTCAAGGGCGGCGTCCTCTTTTAATGGAACTGAAAGAAGCACATCTTTTTGGCAAGGTCATTGCAGTTTCCAGGCGCGCACGGATTGCTACGTGTTGATTGATAAAGGGACCAGGGTAACCGTTCCCTAGCAACGTCCTGCAGATGTGATCTTTCTCGTCAGCTAGTTTCCCCGGAATACAGATTCTGGCAGCATGATAATAATGCGGAGGTACAAAGTTTTAAAACTGTATGCATAGGTCGACCCATGTAAGTTTCCGGAAAAGGCTTCTCTCTAGGGAGCCATCGTTTTGCTGCTTCGGCAAAACATCAAAAAGGTCTGCTTTCCATTGCTTTCGAGGTTGCTGATGAAATGCAATGATGAATGTGCACTGTCAAGTTGAGCTAATAGACAACGGACGTGTACGTACGAATTATAAATAAGAAATATATGATCCATGTACCTGTGGTATGAATCAAGCGATGAGATAACTGGCTCCAAGGAGCCGCGTACCAATTTCCTCAAGAAGACGGTAAAAAGAAGCGGTCCGAGGAGGGACTCCATCGCTACACCGTCAATGTATCTATCATCAAATAGGAACTGCATATTGAAAGTGCACTGCAATATCAGTTCCTTTACTGTACGTGCCAGAATACCGAGGTCAACATTATTCGCGACGATGTGTTCACAAAAATTTGACGGTCCCTAGCAATGGGATGTTGGTGAAAGTATGAAGTTACCGTCAACGTGTGAATTCTCTACGTGTTTAGGAAATGGAAACGAATCTTGCAATGAGTGAGTGGAAAGTTCTTTACAGACTGGCTCTTCCACACTTCCACAAGCCACTTCGCGACAAAATGGAAGACGAAGGGGGCATGACAAGTATTGGGTGCAGAGGTACATGGGGCTTGTAGGTCAGATGAATTAATGTGCATTGACTGCTCTTTGTCATGGTGCTTGTGGTGAAAGGAACATGAGGAGATTCTACCCCTGTACATATTGTTTCGATAAATGTTGAGTTATAGCACATCGACACAAAACAAAGAACACTGAAAGTGTCTCTACACACAGGGTGGCACACGAAATGTCATACAATTTGTTTTGCTCGTTACACATGTAATCATCATCAAAATATTACAAAATTGGTGCAGAATTAACTGTATGAGCATGGAAATTTAGTTCAGCGTAGTATGTGTTCCATTTTATTTCACAACCTCTTGCAAGCTACCATATTCTTTGTTTTCCGGCGTACAGAGACTTGGTCTGCGCCGTCAATTCTTCACCACAGAATCAGTTGTTTCAGAGTGACCATACAATCTCTGAATAGTATGATTACATGGAGCCCATTGTGTATGAAAGTGTGCAAGATAAGGTTATTGTGTAGCTATAAAACGCCTCATTTTTTATTAAAAATAACATTACAACTTTCACCTTCTGTTAAACACTCAATCTGCACTTATGCGCCATCTGGAAAATTGCGCTTGGCGCCAAGAAAATATTCCATACAAACTTTTCGTAACATCAACCGGATTTTCCATAAAGCAAATTATACGAATACGAGCTTTCAACAATACATCTCTAATATTGTACGCGTAATGAACAAAACAAATGCTATGACACTTCGTGTGCCACCATGTAGATACCCATTTGCATTGCTTCAATGTTGATGTGTTTAATTAGCCCGATTCATGGTGCTGACAAATTTTATGATCGCGGTGACCTGAATCAAAGTAACCAGAGTTAATCAACTATGGCTGGAGTTAAAGTTAGTAGATTGAACAGAAATGGTGTCCATTCCATATTCAAAACAGAGAGAATAATGACACCTGGGGCTAAAAAATAGAGTTCTAGTGTTACGAAAGAAGAGCCCAACAGCTGGAGAGGCATAATACGTAGCTTCATCAGACACAATCCCAGTGAAAAAGTGTAAAGTTAGCTGGAGCTGGTGTGAACATGTGCTTTTCCAATTATCATGAATACGGAACTTACGAGAAAGGCCGATTCGCGTGACCGAGTTCCGAGCTGGAGGGATCGAATGGAGAACGCGGTTTGCAGGGGAGTGAAAAGCGGTTGGGCCTTTTGGTGTTCTGATTCGCGTCCGAACCTGGCGCCTCGTCGGACTGGATGTAATGAGACGGTTGAACAGCAGACATCAACAAGCGGAAGTGACAATGTATCTGACAAACGTATATGACGGAGTGTAGCAATGGTAACTTTCAACGTATGAAAATCACAAAATACTGTCATGCAGCATTGTATGTTCGCTCTTTAATTAGCCTCGTACAGGTTGTTTCACCTGCTTTTTATTTTGGATTTTATTACATAGGCACAATAGCTGGGATATTTCCCAGCTCTAGCTAACGTGTATAATGAATGAATGACATCGGCGGGACGAACTATAGAGCAAATGGATCCGCGACGATTTAGTGTCCCGATCACAGTGAACAAGCTGAACCGTAATGAGCTGCCACAGAAAATAGGAAATGTGCGACACCGATTTGATCCGGATTTCCAACAAAGGTTGAAGGGGACACTAGTTTGCCGTTGGGGTTTGGGGTACCCTCCGCATGCTTGGATTGCAGCATTTAATATTAATTGGACCAACAATCAACACTGAAGTAAACTTCGGATATTCCAATCGTTAGTCGCATTCAAAGCTTCCTCTTTGCTTGAATTCTTTAGGTAGAAATAGTCAGAACTGAGAATGTAGGACAACACAAAAGAGAAGAAAAAGAGAAAGGCATCAGCAGTACGCCGGTACGCAGTACCGACGCTTCGGTGCCGCGCAACCACCACCGGCCGTACTTGAGCTAAGGACACGGTGAGGGTCGCCTTGCCCCTACGCAGGCGCGAACTCGTCAGATTACAAGACAAGATCGTTACGCTTAAGCTACGGGCCGGCCAACACAAGGTGTTTGACGGTTGAGTTCTAGGTTGATCACTAGATCATTGGATTCCGCAAACGTGTACTGCCAAGCTCAACAAAGAGCTTCTAAGCGTTGTGTCAGGCGCTGATCGCGGGGCTAACGTCAGCTGTTAGCCACCCTCAACTCTGCCTGAAAAACCCAACAATAGTGAAACGGATTATGAGTCGCAGTACTGGGAGTGAAAAAATCGAAACTCCCAACCACTATTTTCCGCGATTGTTAGAACAGTGTGTTACGGAAATCACAGTGATGAGTGAGTGTCCAAGGAAGTTTCTCGTGACGCATTCCTCTACAGGTATGACAATTTGCGGGTCTAAAATAAAAACAGACAGGAATAGAGCACAAATCTCGTTTCCTATTGAGCAGGAGAGTGAAAACTAAGCAGTGCAAGCCATGTTGTCAGATAAAACGGATCTAAGACAAATGATGAGTGAAAACACGTCCGCGGATTAGTTTTTCCATAGAATGACTGAGTAGTAGTGACTATGATCGATACCTCCCCGTGCCAAAGTGCCTCGGAGAAAATCGATATCCGACGTGCGGTGTCCAGTAGAAATCAAGATGTGAATGAATACGGGGTAACTGAACAGCAACGGCAATCAATGGTTGGTAGAATAAACAATACGTGCTTCAAAAAGTTGCTAACTAGAAAGGTAGTGAGAAAAGTGCCGTTTCAACCAAATAGCGAGGAGTCAAGCAGACTCAAGAGACCTGCACGTCACATGACTGAAAAGGAAACGGAACTAAAAGTGTGTATTATCTTAATAGGAAACCAAGAGTATGGTGTGAATGGATGAGAATGTTCCGGTGGTTGGGGACCTATCAGAGCCTACATAAAAGAGAGAAAATTGATGTCAATTACGAAATAGCCCAACAAGATACAGTAAATCACGCAACTAAACAGCGAGAAACCTACGAACAGTGCTGACTTTGTCCGTATCCTTGCCTCCATTTCAGAGAACGGTGGGAAAGTAGGTCGATAATGCACTGTGCAACTGAGGAAGACGAGTCCAGCTGAATCGGGGGTGTCTTGTGACGCTGCACCCTCACTGTTTACTGGGCTGACGGCCAATCCGGAAAACAGACGACCAATTTGTTGACACATGGCATTCGGTCCTAAGCGCGACAGGTTCGTCAATCCGCGCCTCAGTGTGTAGCACATCTGGTACTTTGATGGGTCTTGACTGCGCGACAAACGATAGGCTATTAAAATATCGAAACAGAAACAAAAATTATATGTACGAATTAGTAACGAGACTGACATGTACAACAGACAGAGAGGGAGAGATCAAAATGCAAGTTGGTGCCAACTAAGACGCATCAAATTTCATGAATACGGTACAAACTATATTCGTATTCGGTAAATGCTACTGCAGTGCGAATGTCCGCGAAAACAGAAAACATAGCGAAATTCCCGCGACCAAAGAGTATAAAAGGCAGTTCATATTCTGTCGTCTTATTCAATGAAAGTGAGTTGAGTCAGCATTGAGCACGTAGCTTTAACCCGCCCCTTTACAAGTTGGGAGTTCGAAGTTTGACTTTAGGCGGCAAAATAAAAGTGAGTATCGTGCGACAAGGAAGCTTAAGTGTAAATAAATTATCCGTGGACCGGCATTTGTCGCTAACTAGTCGTTCAGAGGGAAACGCATAAAGCAATACTAAAGCTTGCACTTAAAGTATTAAACGACACAACTGTGAGCAAAGAATGCAGAGGAGTTAGCAAGCCAGAATGGAGACGATGAACGACTGAGTTGGCTTTCGTCAGACCCCCGATTCGTTACTGTCGGAACGCTAGTAACGACAATGAAAAACATGCAGCCTATAGTAATAACGAAAACCACAAACAAGATAATTGAAATCATAGGACGAACGACGACAGGATAATGCTTGCTATGACCGATTAGGATGCGCTAAACGATGTCACACAATCCCAGAGAATTTTTCTTACCCGGTAATAGCCGTGTTGCAACAATGACCGCCTTCAATAAGGTGCCTAACTTTTCAAAGAGTCGTGATTGACGAAGGTCCTCCACAGCAACCTCATTTGTTTGAACCATATCGGTAGTGGTACCTGAGGCAGTCGCTTGTTCAGTACTGGGAGATGCTTGAGATGACTGATCATCCTCCGAGGAGACATTAAGTCGGTCGGCAGTGTCCAGTCGAAAACGCCACACTTCAACGACCATGCGTTCGCCGGTTGGCCAGGCGGTCAGTATCTCCAAGCTTAGAACATCCCTTACACGAACTGGGAACCCGGCATCAAGAGTTTGCTTGATGGTGGCACCAATCTCGGGGTCCTCCTCAATATTGACCATCTGAACACAAAAATGTTACATGATGCGTGTGAACAGTTCCGAGTGAACTGACAGTGTCGAAGCGGTTAAGGAGCAGAGGCAGAGTGAGCTAAAGGCAGGTTACAAGCAACCTAGAGGGTACTAGGTAAACCGTACGCATAATCAACTTCCAAGTATGTGAATGCAGTGAACACACCGCGTAAACGAAAAAGCAAAAAAAGAAGGATATCAGACGAAAAGAAGTAAAAGTGGGAAAGAACAGAAGAGTGAGTGAATTATTTAATGATACGGAAAATCAAAGCTCCCTTGATCAAGCCTACTTAACTTGCTAAATGTGAGCCAAGTACCGAAAAGGACAGGAAGGATATGACATCGATTGCTGTGGAGGGAAGAGTTGTTGTCAATAATTGCGCTGGGACAAAAACGAATAGAATAAAGAAAAATTCACCGGGCGGAATGTGGAAAGTTGGAAGATGGTCCAACGCGAACACATCGTATCATGAAGCAGGACTTCAGTCAACCTCATCACAAAACCTTAGGCAAGCATGCTGAAACACATTAATCAAGTGCCCTATGTTCGCGTCAAATAATTCTAACTAACCAAAGTATCCTTAGTTTCAACACACACACGGCACATTCAACTGCTACGATATGATAGAAGATTGTTCAGTCGTAATTAACTGATGAGCCAGAGAGACGAACCAGGCGGCCAAGAGCAGGCAAATCTGAAGGATGTATTTATTGGACGCACAACGCGTGGCCATTTGCTAACACGGCTTCGCAGAATGGCGGACGATCCTAGTCGTTATTCAAATCAGAAACCTCATAGGTCTGAAAAAGTCGTTAATGTATGTGCACCAGCAATATACACAGGCACTCTATGGGTCAAACGTGCTGTCATTCCTGCAGAGTACAATACATTGACCATGAAGAATTTATTATCGCGACAGCAACCACAAGCGAGCTATAGCGGGCTTTAAGCTTATCGGTCAGGGACGTCTTCCAACGAAAGTGTACGTAGCGAATTCTCGAGCAATTGCTGTGCTCCGCTCCACCACAGAAGACATCAAAGCTCCTAAGCTGGTTGAGTACACTCAAAACTGTTGCTTTTTGGTGATGGAATCCTGGGGGGTGGAAGAAATGAACCAATGACCTTCTTCTAACCAATTCGCACTGCAAGTATCCACAAGGCCGCTATATGGCGACGAGAGAAAGATGTCGGTGAACAATACAAAACGAAATAGAATGAAACCAAGGATTAATAAGATCAATAACGGAACAGGAATTCAACAGCTGTTATGTCAGCGAGTGATAGAAATGTTCCATACGACTGATGATTACTCACGAGATTGTTTCGAGCCCCCACCGCCGAGATGCAGTTGGTGTTGTAAACAATGCCGTTTCGTGCCTGTACGATGGCATGGATTGATTTGATGATGAAAGATCGGACACAACTGTAAAAAAAGCATCGAACCAAGGATTAAAACAGGGTTGAAAGTGTGCACACAGTGGAACAAGGACGCAATAGACATTCATGATGAGACCGGCTGACAAATAAACGTCTAAGGTGGTGAACAAACCGAGTGTTAGCATAAATTTTCATTTAACGGCTTTAAAAACGACGAGCGCATTTGGCATCAGCATTAATGCTAGCGGCACATGACGATAGAGGGCTCCGGCGGCGAGTGTTACTTGGGAACGCACTATAAGTGCCACAAGCTGGAGACACGGGCACCGTAAGACGACACAGAGGATAGTCAGTTAAATGGTATGCACAATAATTAACAAGGGGGCGTACATATCGCTCCGCAATTTGAAAACAGAATCCACATGATAATAAAAAGGTAGGTCACGTGGCTAACCGAACACAGAAAAAAGCATATCAGATATGTGATGGTGACTGAAAGCTGCGGCGAAGGGAACCGCCTGCCTCAGTGCGGTCGATCGGGCGATCGACGAGCGGGTTTTTAAACACCCAGCTAATTGTACTTTGCCTCAGACTTGGGAATAGAGTGTTTGTGTGCAGGGCCGGTGGGAGTTCTTTCTGTTGACGTGACTGGGTGAACTAGGCACACAACAAGATACAGTAAAACCAGATGGAGTATAACGAGATAGCCCTCCTCATAGTTAAGATTAATACCAGCAGTACGTCGGGACACCGCGTACCGACGTTTCGCTGCCAAGCGAGTACTACCGGTTGCGCGTGGGCTAGGTATACCGCGAGGCCGTCCGTATCTAAGCGCATTTGAACCGATGACCTCCGGATTACAAAGCAGGCATGCAATGCTTAGGGCAACCGGTTAGCATATTAATAGAATCTGCTGGAATTGGCACTTTTACTTTCAATTTAGTTGGTCTCCTCCCTCCTGTCAAGCAAGCAGGCCAACCTGTGCGTCTTATAACCTTTCACCGGAACCACTAAACGAAGCGGTCTCTCTTGAGCTGCATCATTTGATGCAATTCAAAATGGAATTCCTTCGGAGTTGTTCAAATAAGGTGGTGAGGCGATTCTCAGCCAGTTAACAGTTCTGGTTTCGAGGATGTTGTGTGAAGAAAAGGTTCCATCCTCTTGCGATGAGTCGATAATCGTACCCATCTTCAAATGGATTCTCGCACCTCATGCGCCAACCATAGAGGGATCAGTCTAATATCCGCCGCCTCCAAAATGCTAACATCGATTCTAATGCAAAGGTTAACACCAATTCGAGAACATCACTTCCGCGAGGAACAGACTGGCTTCCGTTCCGGTCGAGGGCATGAATCACATGTTTACGTTCTGTTAACTCCTCGAGCAGCGCCATGTTTCTCGCCAACCCACGATCATCGCCTTTCTGGACATCCAAACTGCGTTCAAGTCGGCCGAACGGCCTGCTCTATGGTATTGTCTGCAAAGGAATGGGGTTCTCGAAAAGTATACCGCCATACTTCGAGCTTTATAAAACAATGTCTCTAGCAGAGTGAGAGTTGACAGTAAGCTCTCTTCACTGTACGCCGTCACTAGCTGTGTGCGACAGGGTTGCCTCATGTCCCCGTTTCTCTTCAACTTTGCGATTGAGGATCTCTTATTAAGCACTCTGGAAGGTTTCCAGGGTTCTGGCGTAGAGCTTCTTAAACGCACCAGCGCGACTGACTTGGACTATACTGATGATATTGCCTTGCTTTGTGACGATCCACAGATCATGCAATGCATTATAAACCGCTTGGTAATTGTAGCTACCATATATATATAGGCCACAAACTGTAATACAGATATTGCGCCATCAGAATCATGGCGGAAAAAGGAAATACGATACGAATAGGAAGAAAAAACAAGCAACAATTTTTCAGTAGATTTTCACTCAGTTGTTGAGTTTTGTTTGTTTTATTGGGGAACGGGATAGAAATCACTGCAACACGCAGACATATACGTCCGCCATTGAAGTCGGTCCTGAGCCACGACTTCTAGGGTCTCCAACCAGCGACACTATCTCTGAAATCCTAAGCAGGGAGTCGAGAACAGTCGACCGAGGCCGACTGTTTCGTCAGCTTTTTCATGTGGCTTCTCCATGTTGTAGGCTGTCCACCACGCCGTCTGCTCCAGTCCTGTCTAGTAACCGCGAACAACGCCCGACACGGAAGACGATGAGCGGACATGCGCAGTACGTGTCCAAGCCACTGCAGCGGGACGAGCTCCTCAAGCGAGTGGCTGCCTCCACCCAAGATACGCTGCCTAGCTTCCACATTGGTAAGGTGGTGCAGCCACCACAAACGGCCAATGGACCGCAAGCAACGGTGCAAAAAGACTGAGAGACGGCGCAGGTCAAGGATACGAAAAGGCCAAGTCTCGTAACCGTACAACAGTACCGCGCGGACAGTCGCGCAAGAAACCCGCCCTTTGACTGACAGACGGATGCTATGGCGGCGCCACAATTGCCCCAGCTTAGAGAAAGCGAGGCGAGCTCTTGAGATATGCATCGAAATCTCGTCTCCAACAGCTTCAGCGACTGTAATGCAACTACCCAGGTAGGCAAAACTCTCCGTAACCTCCAGTGTCTCACCACCAAGAGTGAGTGCAGTCACAGGTATCTGAAAGTCTTGGAAAATAGCTTTGCACTAGAATTGGGGGAAAGTCATCTCATAGTTTGACGCTCCAATCGCTAAGCGGTTCAGTGCAAGTTGGACGGCCTGCGGACCGTCACCCTGCAAGACGAGATCATCAGCGTAGTCCAAGTCAACAACTCGGCTACCTGGGAGGAGCTCAACGCCAACGATCAACGAATTATTCAGAGCACTACTTAGGACACCCTCAATGGGAAAATTGAAAATGAATGGGGAGATAGTACATCCATGTCGAAATACACTGTCGACAACAAAGGAAGGCGAAAGCGGAGCTCCCGCCACATTTCCTGATGAGGAGGATCTGTGGGGACAGATCACTCAGCACCAGTGGGAAATCCAGAGGAAGCAGATGGAGCAGGTGGCCAGCGAAACTGCGAGCGAAAGTGTTCAGCATATCGTTCCAACCATCGTTGAACATCAGTGATTAGTGGGCCATCCTCTCCGCAGATTGTTCCGCTTACTCCTGATCAGAAACCTTCGGTGGCCCGGATAAGACGGAAAAGTTTTCTGGTATTACCAGAAAGACTAGTGTTAATGGGACGGAACCAGCCAATGAGAGCGTTTTACGCTGAGGGCTATTGATTTGGCCATAAATTGAATGTACCGTTAGTTGGACGTTAAGCAAATATACTTGCCAGCCGTACGCCGGTCTCCTGCTTTGGGAAGTCGGGCTGATCAGAGTGCACGCTAGCAGCAGGTCATCGGTAGGTCAGCCGAAAACCATAACATATATTTTTGGCGACGGAAGGTAGTGGATCAAGATGTCAATTTCAGCGGAAGACCTGAAAATCATTTTGTTGCAGCAACAGCAGCAATTTGAAACAGCACAGCTGCGTATGATTGAAACCCTCACCCAAATGTTATCTGTGCAGCCTACGGTCGTTCAGAACAATGGGAAGCCTTCGGCGGATGCGATGATCAGTAGTGTTAATGAGTTCATATTCGATCCTGACTCAGGATTAATATTCGATGCGTGGTTCAGGCGCTATGAAGATGTTTTCAGGGCAGAGTTGTCAGGTCTCGATGATGCATCTAAAGTTCGCCTTTTGTTACGAAAACTCGGAACGGTTGAACATGACAGATACATTAACTACATTTTGCCAAACAACGCGCATGATTTCAGCTTTGATGATACAGTTGCTCGACTCACAGCGTTGTTTGGAGACCAGTCGTCTCTTTTCAATAACCGATACAATTGTCTAAAGCTATGCAAAAAGGACAATGACAGGCTTATTGCTCACGCGGCGATAGTCAAACGTGAATGCCAGAAATTCAAACTGAAGTCGCTCACGGAAGACCAGTTCGAGTGTTTGATACTAGTATGCAGTCTACAGTCCCCAAAAGACGCCGAGATACGAACGAGAATACTTGGTATGTTGGAACGCGACACAGATGTTACATTACAAAACGCCATTGCTGAAACCCAAAGAATCATGAATTTAAAGCACGATACGGCTATGGTGGAAGATTCGAGAGCACATTCCGCAGATATATCTGTCCAGCAAATTTCAGGAAACAACCCACCGACCGCTCAACCTAGCAGATATCCACAATCCAAACCCCCATCACCTTGCTGGCAATGCGGAGGATGGCATTTTGTGAGATGGTGTCCTTTCAGCAAACATGTTTGTCAAAGGTGCTTTAGACGGGGGCACAAGGAGACCCACTGCAGATTCAAAACATCATTTAGATCGTCATGTGATACTCGAAAAGCAGGTTACCGAAGGTTCGCGACAAGAGTAAACGCTAACTATACGGACGATGTTAAAGATAGAAGAAAGTTCGTCACTATTACCATCAACGGAAGAGTAGCGCGTCTGCAGATTGATACGGCTTCCGATATTACAGTCATTACGGAAAACTTATGGAAAGCTATCGGTTCACCTGACATTAAACCAACTAATCATAAAGCGAAGAGCGCATCAGGTACGAGTCTAAACTTGATCGGTCAGATTGAATGTGAGTGTCGCTTTGCCAACTTCACCGCTTGGGGAAGTATTTTCGTCACAACACACAAGAATTTGAACCTCCTTGGATTAGACTGGATTGAGCGATTCAACCTCTTAGATGTTCCCATTAATCAAATCTGTGCAAGTGTACACTTACACAAACCAAAAGTCCCCAAGGCAATGGCAATCGAACAAATTCGAGAGAAATATGCATCTGTTTTCCGTGAAGGACTTGGTAAGTGTACAATGTTGCAAGCCTCATTGTCCTTAAAACCCGATGCTGTTCCTGTTTTCCGTGCAAAGCGGCCAGTACCTTACGCAGCAGTCCCACTTGTTGACCAGGAACTTGATCGTTTGGATAAACTTGGGGTTATCTATGCAGTGAACTACTCTTCTTGGGCGGCTCC